GCAGTACTGTCCAACTGTGAGTACTACTCCTGCAGTACTACTGCAGTATCCTGGCAGTACTGTCTAAGTTATCTTTGCAGGCATTTTTATGGTGTACAGAACGAGCTGCAGTCACTGAGTTGTCCGACTGATTCATATTTTTGTATTTATCAGTGAGGATCAATAACTCTGATACCAAAGTTATCAAACCTTAAACTTATGACACATTTTAAATATTGAGGCATTCAAATTAAAACAAACTGTCCATACCACCGTACCAGCAGCAATGATGCATGTAATCTGAGTATTTTTGGGCCACAGGCTCTACATTCACTCACCTGTCTGGCAGGTTGACAGCCTGGTAACACGTAGACTGACGATACTCAAAGCATGAATCAGTCCATAAACCAATCCTTAAATTGTCAGACAAAAAGACAAAAGATCATCACAACTGCAGTTTTTCAAAAACAAACTAGTTGCTTACATCGTTCAGTACCTGCACAGAGACAACAGATGTCAATTAGCTGCTAATTCTGGTGCGGTGACTTTTAATTGTTGGCTGCCCCTGCGACATAAACAAATGACCCAAACTAAGTAACAGTACTGCAGTATTGTCCCGCTGTAAGCATGATACTGCAATACCACTTGTGTAATTCTCTCCCTCTGTCTCTCTGCAGCTCTTCTGTCTCAGGTTGCAGTCCTGGCAGCAGTTCTGGTTTTGGTTGTCGTTGCCATCGTCTTCCTCGTCCTCCTGATTGTCCTCTGGAGAAAAGTCAGTCCTCAGAGTACCAGGAGTAGTTGCTTATACACAATATAAGCGGAGAACATCCAGAGTATATACGCAGTCTTAAGGGTCCCCTGGTTACCACGACAACCTGTGTTTCTCAGTGAACTCCTTATCTCTTCCTGTTTGTAGAAACCTCGTTATGAGGTTCGCTGGAAGGTGATCGAGTCCGTGAGTCCTGACGGAACGCAGTACACCTACCTGGACCCAGCACACCTGCCCTACTGCGAGGGCTGGGAAGTGCCACGAGACCACGTAGTATTAGGTAACACTACAGAGTACAAGGGAACAACATGGAGTACTACGTAATGCGCGGTGCTACTATGCAACAGTGCAAAGTAAAAGGTAACAGCATGTAGTTCCTCTGTGTCTCAATCTGTGTGTCTCCAGGTCAGGTGCTGGGTTCAGGTGCATTCGGATGTGTTGTCGAGGCGACGGTCTCTGGTCTGATTCACTCTCATTCTACAACCAAGGCAGCTGTGAAGATGGTCAAACGTATGTACAGACATACCTGTCTGACTGTCTGACTGACTGTCTGTCTGACTGACTGACTGACTGACTGACTGACTGACTG